AAAAAAAAAGTGATCATCTATTCTGGCCCAGAAAATAAACACATCTCCAAAACATAAAGCACCTTGAATTTTTATGTTATTTGCAAGCCTCCTTGCCTCCCACCCACACTGTACACACTGAACACCCCTTCTGCTCAACATAACCCATTCATCAGCTTCTGAGTGTGATGACAATTTGAAACTGCATAGACAAGGGCCACTTGTAAATCAGAACAGCTCTTTTATAGCTTTATAGATGGTGGCTAAGTAAATATCCCTCACCCAGGCCTCCTGCACAACCCACAGCTGCAAAGCAACACCGCCAGGTTCTCTTCAGCCCATATGGATTTCCCGCTGAGTGGATTTACATTTCTTCTTTTGGCACTTTGAGAAAAACAGGTGCTTAAGAGCATTCATATTCATCATCAAGCAAGAGGAAATCACAAAGATGTTTTCTTTAGAAAATGTATTTGGTCAGGAAAGGGGAGAAATCAAAATATGGAAAACCAGCTTGTGGTAAACTGGGGGGGCGAGGGGGGGGAGCGGGGAATGGATTCTCTTTTCTTGTAGTTTGAACCCATTGCTCCATGTCCTAGACTCTGGAGCAGCAGAAAGCAAACTTGTTCCATCCTCAATATGACATCCCTTCAAATATTTAAACATAGCTATTATGTCACCTCTTAATCTTATCTTCTCCAAGCTCATAGGGGTTGGTGGTTTCCAAGCCTTCCACCATTTTGGTTGCCCTCCTCTAGACACGTTCCAGCTTGTCAACATCTTTCTTGAACTGTGATGCCCAGAACTTGACACAGGATTCCAGGAAAGGTCTGATCAATACTACCGAATAATGTTTAATACCACCGAATGCCTCAGAAGTACACTTATGTTCTCATCATAGTTCTGAATTGGGGCACGTCAGTCCCAATGCAGTTCCAGCTCCAAAGGAGCTGGCAGCAACTGTTGAACTCCCCTGGGTGGTGTACAGCCAGACATCCGAATCCAACAGCTGATTATGAGCCACAGAGGAGACCCAACAATTACCCATAACAAAAGCTCCTCCCGTGAGCCAAAGCTCCGTGGATGGCAATCGATGTGTGCTTTGCTGATGGTTAGGATTTCTGATGTCACTTAAAATTTATGCACTAGGCCTCCCAATTTGTAGTGAGACCGACAAGCTAACTCCCAGACTCACTATCAATAATATTGATAAGAAAACTGGAAGCGACACAAAGGAGACCATGTAGCAACTTAAACCTTGGGAGCATTTCAAATATCTGTAATCAAATGCATCATGATATTCAGCCTCTTAATAATCATTACTATTATTTGGTAAAAAGCCAGCTAGGGCTATAATTAACGTCTAAGTGCCAGAAGAAGAATTGGAAGAAATTTTAACCCCAGCACACTCTGCGTGTTGTTAATGGCTGTTCTGTCCACTAATTCTGTGCTCCAATTTTACCCGCATCAACCACCGATGACACGGGCGGCAGGAAAGCAAATGAATTTTTAATCATCTCTCTGATGTACAGTATAATTGTTGACTTTTATCAACTAGCAGTTAAACAAGGAATTGGAATGGAATAAACATCCCTTAATTGCACATCTCTCCATGCTCACAGGAGGATAACATTGGAAATGAGAAACCCGTCCCTATTATCACAGCAACACAGATAGATGTGTAACACAAGACTCAGGTCAAAGGGAGGTGCTTCTCCTTTGCTCCCCAACCTCAGAGTCTGTGTTAGATTCTTAACATGCAGAAGAGGAATGATTAAACTCATAACTTTTCATCTCTGCATTAAGCAAGGGCAGCTTTTCATATTACTTCCAGAATTTTAGACTGAATCAACTCTCTCTCACACACACAAACACACGCACCAAGAGATAATGCAGATGAGGGCTTTAGGAGGATGCAACTGGGCCATGAGGGAGAAAAGCAGAAGCAG